CTCCTGGGTGGAGAATAATTAGCGTGGGAGGAGCGGCCTAATTCCTGATTTTCTCTGCACTCAGAGTTCACCTAGCAGTACCTTTGCCTTTGCTTTCGGTCCTTCACTCAACCTATGGAGCCATCTTTCCTTCACGGTAATCCACCCACAGTTCCAGTAGAGGGCGCGCTGCCCCTACACCATAGGGCGGTTGCAGGTACCTCTGCTTCAAGTGTGTCTGGCGGCCAGAGCACGTCTGCGGTTATGAGACAAGACACTCAGAAAGCAAGCATGCTTTTCCATCCTGTTGGCCGAGTTTGACACTAAAATAACCATTTCACCTGCCCACATTTTCCTGCTCTTTGTCGCATTAGGTTTCCTCCGGGAGGTTTCATATCCCAGGTCTGCATCTTTCAACAGACGTTTATCGAGCACCTACGAGGTGCCGGGTACACCCAGCCAGACCCTTTTTCTGTCAGTGTCTCAGCTCAGAGCAAGGTTCCTTCCTGTGTTTTCTGTGCCCACTGGCCTTTCTCTTGAGTTACCACCTGGATTTTGTCTGCTCTGCCCTGAACTTTCTCTGTCCCCCTGAGACTTCACCCCCGTCCTTGAGGGAGATTCCTTCATTTCTCTAGAACAGTCTCCATCTGCCAGGAACTCCGGCTAGACCAGTGGTTCCCAACCTCTTTTGGCCATGCCCCACCTAAGCAACTCTAAAATCCTGATTCCCCACCCTCCCGACCCCGTGACATAGAATTCTTATTATTCAAAAAGTGAACTCCCATTCACATGGAGGAAGCCTAAAAGGCCATTCAGTGGTCTAAACAAGCTTCAAAGAACATGGCATCCATGAAAGAGAAAAATAAAAGAACAAAAGGACAGATGAAGTACTGAGAAAGAAATCACTAAGAAATTGTTTAAAATAATCATAATAATAATATGAAGTGATATGAAAAAAATAGCAAATAAAGTTTCAAAACATATACCGGTAATAGAGACCTGGGATGCATAAATATGTCACAATGTATATGTATAGACTGTATACGAGGCCCCTAGAACCATCGGAAATGCAAAAAATTCACTGTTAATAACTCATCCTCAAATTGCCCCCCTTAAAAATCAAATTGCACCCCTGTGTGTGTGTGTGGGGGGGTGCCCGCGTTGGGAACCACCGGTCTAGACAGACACATCCAAGCGAATGCCA